GAACCCCTGGGCATCTGGGCCAGATATTGGTGGCTTGAGAAGAAAGCAGGAAATGTCATTTGGCATCAGGGAGCCCTGATGACAGAATTCTGTTTAATCCCAGTCTGGCCATGACCCCAGGATGGGTCTAATCTTGTAGGTGCCTCTGGTCCAAATGGCCTGGTGATAAGACAGGGATAAGAAACTGGGTCCTGATCTCTGCCTCCTAGCTGAAACCCCTAGGCCACATCCCTATTTATCCCAACCCACCTTACCAGGGCCTCAATATTCTGATCTGAAATGAGGAACAGGGCTGTGGGACCCTGAGATTCCTTAGAGTCTCTACCCACAGCATGAGGGCCAAGCCTGGATGGGGCTTGGGGCTCACTGACCTGCTGAGGTGAAAGCATCACCTGAAGAAAAGGCAGACGAGTGGGAAGAAGTTCCCAGAGGAGGAAAATAGCAGGGGCTGAGCCAGGGTGTGACGTTGCCCTGGGATGCCAGACCCAAACAGCATTGCCAGTTCTCCCTGGAATAGACTCACAAGGCGCTTGAGAAGCAGAGGAAGGGGATCATTTAATCCAGAGGTTAGGAGCACAGACAAAGGTTGAAATCCCTGTGTGACCACAAGCTAGCATTTCAATCTCAGTTTCTTTTTCTGAAAAATGGGAGCAGTAGCACCTACCACATAAAATAGTTGAGAGAGTATATGAGGTATGTCACATGCTTGGTTAGCACTGGGCCCTGACCAATACAGGGGCTTAAGATATGGTACCTGTCTTCACTTGGAACATTTATTGAGCACCTGAGGTATGCCAGGCTCTGAGGAAATTGGAGATCTGATAGCATAGTGTCTAAGGCACTTGACTGCTAACCAGAAGGCTGGCGGTTCAAACCCATCAGCCACTCCTCAGAAGGAAGATGGGGCAATCTACTTCCGTAGTGATACTGCCTTGGAAACCCAAGGAGGGGTCACTATGAGTCGTGGCCGACTCGACGGCACATAACAACAACAACAACAACAACGAGGAAATGATAGGAACAAAACATTCAAGAAGCTCACAGTCCAGTGGGGGACAGAGAAGTAAACTGACAAGTTCAAGAATGTAAGAAGCATTGCATTGTAAGGTGTTTTGGGAACCTGGGAATTGGGGGAGGGGGTCAGGGAAGGCCATTGGGAGGAAGTACTGTCTTTACTGAAACATGAATAGGTATTAGCTAGATATAAGGCAGATGGAGTATAAAGAGAGTGTTCCAAGCAGGGGAGAAGTTACCTGCTTCTCCAGAGAAGTCACCATCTTGGGATAGGTCTGAAGACAGACAGAACTAAGGTGAGAAAACCTGGCCTTATCCTGAGGTTCTCATAAGGCAGGGGAGAAGTCACTTCCCTGGACTGTGGGCCACAAAGGTAGAGGATGTGAGGCAGTGATCTTCTTACCCTTCCCTCACCCCTTACCCTTGTTGTCCCATAGTCCTGGGGACCACTAGATCCAATGCATCTATAGCTGTCCTCTGCAACTCCCACCCCCATTCAGTGTGTTTTGTGTGGTAGCAGCCTGGGTCCTGTGGTATTTAGGAAGACCCATTCCCTGGCCCTATCCTGGCCCCCTGATGCCAGAGAGAAGCTTCAGGGCCTGAGGTATGTGTGTGGTACAGAGGGAGGAGGCACCAGACAGGAAGGTGGTGGTTGGTGGGCAAGTGCAACTCATCTCATGGGACACTTAGGGTCCATAGGCTGCCACTGGGGAACTAGGTCAGAGGCACTGGAGTTAGCCACCTGCCTTGGTCCTTTCTCCTTACCTTTCTTTACTCTCACTCCTCCCCCTTTCTGTAGAACCTAAGAATCTATTCTGCCTTGGGAAAAGACTTTGACACATTTTCAAAATAATGTTGAGAGAACTCTCCGGAGAGGAAGAGTAAACAAGCTTAAAAAATGCAAAAGGAAATGCCTTATTGATTTTTTTCTTTAAATGGGGAGGGAGACCTTAGCCAGTTCTCTGAGAGAAAATTTCCAGCCATTGTGACATGAGGTTATAGAGACTTCAGGAAGCCTGGAAGTTTGGGGTGGGGACATCTAAGGTGAGTCTTCAGTCCAGATTCAAAATCAGTTCAGTGAACAGTTGCTGCCACCTTTCAAGGTGCCATCCTCTGTGCTCAGCACTGCAGGGGGCCAAGATGCAAAGACCTGAAGCCTCCCTACAGTGGAGGCTCTGGCAAGGAGCTAGAACAAAGACAGCAAAGGACCGATGGACTAAGGGGAACATGACAAATATCACTACAAGAAAGACTCAAATAAGTGCAAAGGGACTTGGGAGGAGGGTTTACCTCTGAGGGGAGTAGGGATCAGGGCAGGTGAAGAAAGGCTTAAAGGGCAAGGTGGATTGAGTTAAGCATGGCAGCTAACAACAGGATTTCAGTAGGTGGAGATTGAGCAGAAAGCATTCCAGAAGATCAAGTGGTGTGAGCAAAGGTGCAGAGGTAGGAAACTCTTCAGTATTTCAAGAAACAGGGACATTCAACTTTTTAAAACATTCCTTTGTTTAATTTTTAAACGACTTTATTAAGATATAATTCACATACCATACAATCCACCCAATTAAAGTGATTAATTTACACAGCTGTGCAACTAACACGACAATCAATTTTAGAACCTTTTCACCATCCCCAGAAGAAACTCTGTGCTCTACAGCACCCCAGTCCTAGGCAACCACTAATGTACTGTTTTCTATGGATTTGCCTATTCTGCATATTTCATGCAGATGGAATTATACAATATGTGGGCTTTTGTTACTGGGTTCTTTTAGTTAGCATAATGTTTTCAAGGTTTATCCATGTTATAACATGTATCAGTACTTCATTCCTTTTTATGACATAATAATATTCCATTGTATGGCTTTATCACATTGTATTTACTAATTCATCAGCTGATAGACATTTGGGTTGTTTTCTGCTTTTTGGTTATTGTGAATAATGCTGCTATGAACATTTGTGTATAAGTTTTTATGTGAATATTTGTTTTATTTTCTCTTGGGTATATACCTAGAAGTGGAATTGTTGGATCATATGGTAACTCCTTGTTTAACCCTTTGAGAAACTGGCCCATTTCCAAAGCTGTTTTCCAAAGTCGCTGCACCATTTTACAACACCACCAGCAATGTATGAGAGTTCTAGTTTCTCCACATTCTTGTCCATACTGGTTATTATCTGTCTTTTTGATTATAGCCCTAGTAGTGGGTGTGAAGTGGTATCACATTGTGGTACCCCATGTTTTCTTGTGACTCAAAATACTGCTTGAGAGAGAAATCAGAAAGTTTCATGGTTCTGCTTAAAAGCTTAATAATGGGCCTCTAGACTAAAGAGCTCTGGTGGTATAGTAGTTAAGGCATATAGCTGCTAACCAAAAATTTGGTGGTTCAAACCCACAAGCCATTCTTTGGAAGAAACATGAGGTAATCCACTTCCATAAAGATTTACAGCCCGGGAAATGCAATGGCATCACTGTAAGTCAGAATCAACTCAATGACAATGAGTTTGGTTTGGGTTTAGACTCAAGACTAATGATGTACTATCTAAGTGGCTCTGGAGTAAGAGTTACACACAGCGAGAGACTGGATATTTGCATCAGCTTTAGAAAACAGCATCACAAGTTTTTGTGTGGATGTATGTTTTCAGGGCATTCAATTTTGAATGGAGTCTAGGACAGTCATGGTGGGAAGTTGGGGAGAAAGAGTAGAAAGACCTGCTCATCTACCTCCTACTCCAAGCATGTAGGTGGGAGTGAGATGATGGGGCTCAAGAGCCTGGTTTCCAGCCTAGGGCAGGGTTGCTCCCACAACACACCCACACTGCTGTGTCAGACCTAGCAGCTGTTTGCTGGACTGGAAATAGCCTGGAAAGCTGGTATTTTCCCTGGAAATCAAGTGCATTTTCCCGTGTCCTGCTGAGGTCAAATTAGTTAAACACAGAGAACTGTGACCATACAGTTAGTCTAGAGGAGGAGAGTGCTGTCAATAGGAAGTCAACTAGCCAGGGAAAGAGATGGTCAGGAACCAGAAGAACTAACTAGACGGTGCCCAGCTACCACTGTCGACCACTTGGAAGGGGATCTATGTAGGAGATCCTGGATAGAGAGGGAGAATAATGTGGAACAAAAGTCAAAATTATTTGGAGAAAAAAAAAGAGGGGGAATCAGGTTTGCTGGTCCGACAGAACCTGGTGGAACCACTGAGACTATGGCCCCTAGCTGCCCTTCAGATCTGGAATTGAATCCACGCCTGTGGTTTCCAGCCAAACAATAGACAGGCATATGAGTTGAACATTTACCTGAGGTAGATACACTCCTTGGAGAGAACAATCATGGGAGAAAGAAGGGCTGTTTATGCACAGGGACACAGCTCAGGGGGCAGGAGTGCATGGAGGGATGGACACAGGGAAGAGGTAACTATCAGGAGAAAGTGGGAGGGGAGCTGTTGCATTGTGATAAATTGAGGTCAATGTCATGAGATAAAGTATATGTGAACTGCTGTATGGAAAGTAAATTTGCTCTGTAAATTTTCACCCAAATCACACACAAAAAAAGATTGCCAATCTTTCTCTCAAAAAAAAAAAAAGAGATGGTCAGAAAGACCAAGATCAATAAGTGTAAACTTCAGTTAAGCTGTATTCCCCTCCCCCCAGCACTCTTACAGTAGTTGGTGGTTTTGTTTATAGGAAATGCTACAAGTATCTCATTGACCCCATTTGATAGATGGGGAAACAGAGGCACTGCAGCAAATGGATCTGCCATTCAGAGACAGAATGGCAGTAGCAGCTTTGGTAAAATCTAAGCCTTGCCTTTAGTGATATGCCTGTTTGTGAGTTCACAGGAGAAGACTGAGGACACAAAAACAAGAAAGAGTTTGTGCTGTTTTAGTTACTTGAAAAAGAACACCAAACCCTACCCTAAACCTCAAAGCAAAACATAAAATAGGGCTTTAATTACCATCTTTTCTTTTCTTCCTTCCTTTTTTTTTGTTCTCCAGCCAGAAAATATTATGTTGTTAGACAAGAATATTCCCATTCCACACATCAAGCTGATTGACTTTGGCCTGGCTCATGAAATAGAAGATGGAGTTGAGTTTAAGAACATTTTTGGGACGCCGGAATTTGTTGGTGAGTTTTAGGCTTATTTGTCTCCTAGCTGAGAGTCTGGGATCAAAAAATAGAGAACTCCTGGGAACAAACCCTGTGTCTGGGGTTGTGGGTCCTGGGCTGAGATGCTGTAGGAACCTGAAGGGAGGGGGAAGAAATGCCCTGTTAGGCATCTGGGTGAGGGTCCAGGTGCTGGCTTTTAGGGGCCAAGAGGCCAAAAGGTGGCCAGGTGGGGCCTAGAGGTCGCTGCAGAAGGGAAACCTCTCAAGCTGGCCCCACTTGCTGCTCTTAGATGAGCTTGTTTTGAAGATTTCAAATCACCATGCCCTCTTGCATTCCCATAAGTTCAACCTTCTCTGATTTCCTGAAAAGGAAGAAGGAAGCTATTGACCAGATGGTGGTCCACCCACTTGCCTTTGGGAGTTGGAGGAGGGTGTGGTCTCCTCAAAACCCTGGAGGCTAAACCTTGTATCCCCAGGAAATTTATATTTCAAGAATGAGGGCAAAAAATTCAGGCAAATCAAAACAAAATGAAGGGCAACAATAAAAAACAAAGCAATAAATCATAGTTTATCACCAATAGACTTTCACTAACAGAACTTCTAAAAGATGTACTTCTGGATTAAGGAGAATGACCTCAGAAGAGAGGTCTCAATGTAAGACGTAAATTGTGAGCAAATAAATCAGTAAACATTAGGCAAATATAAACATTTTCTGTCTAAAACGATGCTGATGATGAAGAAGGAAAGGAAGTTTTAATTGTGTGGTTTAAACAACAACAACAAAAATCAAACCTATTGCCACTGAGTCTATTTCAACTCATAGTGACCATATAGGACAGGATAGAACTGCCCCATAGTTTCCAAGGCTGTAATTTTTACAGAAGCAAACTACCACATCTTTCTCCTGCAGAGTGGTTGGTGGGTTCAAACTGTCAACCTTCCAGTTAGCAGACAATCACTCAATCACTGAATGACCAGGACTCCTGTGGTTAAAAAGGGCGGAACTAAAAACTGAAGAATAAAAGCTGTTAGGTAGGAATAAGTGTTTAAAATTAGTGTTAAAGATTCTTGAACTGTTCGAAGAGGGTGAAAATGTTGATTTATGTTAGAATTTGTTTCAGGAGTAACCACTAAAAAAAATGGAAGTTGGGAAAAACTATTGTTGTTGTTGTTGTCGCGAGTCAAACCCGACTCATAGCGACCCCTCCTTGGCTTTCCGAGGCAGTATCACTACGGAAGTAGGATTGCCCAACCTTCCTTCCCAGTAGTGGCTGGTGGGTTTGAACCGCCAGCCATCTGGTTAGCAGACAAGTGTCTTAGCCACTATGCTACTATAAGGAAACTAATTTTAAAAAAACCTTAGTTAGTTTTTATTGGTGTGGGGAGCCTTTATGGTGCAATGGTTATGCACTCAGCTGCTAACTGATAGGTCAGTGGTTTGAACCCAACAGTGGGAGAAAGATACAGCGGTCCATTTCCATCAAGATTACAGCCTGGAAACCTTATGGGGCGGTTCTACTCTGTCCCATAGGGTTGCTATGAGCTGCAATCAACTAGACAACAATGTATTTTGGGTTTAGGATGTATATATGAAGAGAGAGGTAAACAGATACATGTGTATGTGCATACACACACACATACACATATGAGATATATATGTATATATACACATTTGCACAATGTGTTTATATTGATATATAAATAAATGTAAATATATATATGTATGTGTGTGTGTGTGTGTGTATAGGAGCTCCTCGGAAGGAAGGTTGGGAAATCTACTTGTGTAGTGATGTTGTTGTCTTCATGTGCCATCAAGTCGGACCCGAGTCATAGCACCCCTCCTTGGGTTTCCGAGGCAGTATCACTATGGAAGTAGATTGCCCTATCTTCGCCTTGGAAACCCAAGGAGGGATCATTATGAGTCGGGTCCGACTTGACAGCAGTGAGTTTGGTTTTGGTATACACACACACACACACACACACACAATATTTATATAATTAGGTAAAATGGACTACATATTTCAATTAAAGATAGAGACTGTAAAGTGGATTTTTAAATATCCATATAGAAAAGGTTTCCTGGGTGACACAAATGGTTTGTGCTTGGCTGCTAACCAAAAGGTTGGAGATTCAAATCTACCTAGCAGTGCTGTTGAAGAAAGGCCTGGCAATCTACTTCTGTAAGATTACAACCATTGAAAACCCTATGGAGTGCAGTTCTACTCTGACACACACAAGGTCTCCATGAATCGGAACTGACTCAACAACAACAGGTAACATTTATATGGACACCTAAAACATAAGGCTATGCAATGATTGTAAGTAAAAGACCAGAAAATATATATGAGGCAAATACCAACTAAAAGAAAGCTGAAGCAGCTATATTAATAGAAAAATAGATGTTAAAACAAAAAGTATTTTTAATGGTGTGTGTATATAAAGACAAAAATTCAGTTCACCAAGAAGTTATAACAATTCTAAACTTAGTTGTACCTAATAAAATATCTAAAAAGAAATATGACAAAATTGATTGAATTACAGGGAGGAATTGAAATATTTACAATTATAGTGGAAGATATAAACATACATACCCCAATTATAATAAATCAAGCAACAAAAGTTAGTAAAATAAAAGATTTAAACAACACAGTTAAGTTTAATTGACATATAGAGAATGATATACTTAACAGCTTCTTAAGCTCTTGTGTAACATTTACAGAAACAACCATGTACTTCTCATAAAGGAAATCCCAATGAATTTCAAGAAATTAGTATCATATCAACCATAGTTCTGACTAAAATGTGAACAGACACATGATCTTTGTACACTTGGAAATTGGAAAACATACTATTAAATAAAAAGTAGCTCTAGTGGCACAGTTCCTAAGGCATTTGGCTGCTAACCAGACGGCTGGTGGTTCAGATCCACTCTGTGGAAAGGAGCTACTCTGTGGAAAGGAGCTCTGGTAGCATAGTGCCTAAGGCACTTGAGTGCTAACCAGAAGGCTGGCGGTTCAAACCCACCAGCCATTCCTCGGATGGAAGGTTGGGCAATCTACTTCCTTAGTGATACCACCTCAGAAACCCAAGGAGAGATCGCTATGAGTCGGGTCCGACTCGAGGGCACATAACAACAACAACAACACTCTGTGGAAGGAAGATGAGACAATGTACTTCTGCAAAGATTGGAGCTCTGGGTACAGTGCTTAAGGCACTTGACTGCTGGTCAACCCACCAGCCACTTCGCACAAGGAAGATGAGGCAATCTACTTCCATAAAGATTTACTGCCTTGGAAACCCAATGAGGGTCGCTATGAGTCTGATAGTTCAACTTCTTAAGCTCTTGTATAACATTTACAAAAACAACCGTGTACTTCTCATAAAGGAAATCCCAATGAATTTCAAGAAATTAGTATCATACCAACCACAGTTCTGACTAAAATGTGAAAAGATACATAATCCTTGTACACTTGGAAATTGGAAAACATACTGTTAAATAATGTTTGGAAGAAATAACGGAAAGTAAAAAACATTTAGAAAGCTTGTGGAATGTGGTAAAAGTGTTATTTAAAAGAAAATTTATAACTTTAATTACTTTTATTGAAAAAGAAGAAAGCCTTAACATTAATGACTTAAGCTTCCAACTTAAGAAATTAGAAAAAGAACAGTTGAATAAACCCAAAGAAAGTAGAATAAATATGACAAAGACAGGAACTGAAATTATGCTTAGATACAATAGAGAGGATCAACCAAATCAAAAGTTGATTTCCTGAAAAAATTAATACAATTGCAAATCTCTGCTGTGTTGAATGGTGGGAGGGGCATATAAAAAGAATTAGGAATAAAAATAGAGACGTAACTACTAATATAGCAGAAATTATAAATATAATAGAATACTTTGCATAATTTGATGCTGATTAATTTGAAAATTTAGGCAAATAGGGCAAATTCTACAACTTGTAAAAACCAAATCAAGAATAAAAAAAATCTCACTGCTGTTGAGTCGATTTTGACTCATAGCAATCCCTTCTTGGGTTTCCGAGCAGATATCTCTATGGAAGTAGATTGCCCAGTCTTCCTTTGAGGAGTGGCTGGTGGGTTTGAACTGCCAGCCTTCTGGTTAGCAGTCAGATGCCTTAAGCTCTACACCACCACAGCTCCAAGAATAGTTGTATTTATATCAGTATATAAAATATCCCCAGAAAGAAAAATGAGGCGCAAATGGTTTTACAGGCAAATTCTAAAAACTTTAAGAGCTTATTCCAGTGTTATATTGATTTTCAGGTACTGGGATATTTCCAATATCTTATCAATATTATTTTCTATTGCAGAAAATATAGAAAGAAATACTATCCTCAGCTATTATCTCAGAACTGCATAACTCTGATATGCAAACCATGCAAGAATAGTACCAGAAAGTAAAATTAAAAGACAATCTCACTTATGAACATATATGCAAAAATTCTAAACCATTATTAGTGAACTAAATTCGAAGGAGTATTAAATAAATAAATAAATATAAAATAAAACTTCAATGGACTATAAAAAGATGTGGTGAATTAAAGATGACCACAAATTCTTTCACACTTCTCTCCTTGAGAGGTGAGGACTATGTCCTTCCTCCTTGAATCTGCCCAGGCTTTAAGATATTGGCAGCTTCCTTTTGGGTAGTTAATTATGAAAAAAGAGATAACTGGAACAAAGGGTCATAAATCATAAGCAAGTTGGATTTATTCCATGATTGTAAGAATAGCTTTACATCAGATAGTCTATAAATGAATGACCAAGTAGCAGATCAAAAGAAAATTATTTTATTATATGTACATTTTTTTTAATTTAAAAAGTTTTCTACAAACTAAGAATAGAAAGGAACTTTCATAACTTAGTAAAAAATATCTACCAAAAATCTATAGAAAACATCATTCTTAGTAATGAAGTGTTAGGAGTAATCTCTTCAAAATCAGAAACAAGACAGTGATGGTTATTATCACTCACTTCTGTTCAACATTGTACAGGAAGTGCCAACTAGAGAAGATAGATAAATAAAAGTAACAAAAAAATAAAAGGACAAAACCACTCTATAATTATTTACAGAAGTAATTTTCTAAAAACAAACAAAAAATACGTACAAATTATTACATTTAATGAAACATTGGCATAGTGGCAAGCAAAAAAGCAACTGTATTTCTATACTCCAGTGCAAAAAGGGCACGGAGGTGGAATCCTCTGACCTCCAACCTCACGAGGGGGAGACAGAATCACCATCAGTAGCCCAAGGCTTATTCCTATGAGGCCAGACATGCTGCCACCCTCCCACCTTTTTACTAACTCTGACCCCACTACTTCTCTGCTGGTTTTGATAATTCATTGCAGTGGCCATACAGAACTCACAGGCATATTCACAATGATAGGGGTTTATTAATGAAGTAACAGGCTACAACCCACATTCTGGAACACAATTCTTAGGATACAGTTCTTCCCTCAGCTCAGTCTCCCCTCTGCTATGCCCACAGGCATGCCTCTCTGATCCTTGGCCTCTTGGCCTGGCCACTGCCTTACTTGGGCAAGTGTTAACAAAGCTCTTTTAGCTTTGCTGATATGTACACCTAAGTGTATCCCACTCTACCAACAAGCCTCCTGCCCAAGCTTTCTCACTCCGTAGTCTGGCAAGGTTGCTACTCTGTTTCATGCCTCTTGGTTCCACTGCCACCATCTCCTAGTCAGGCGTCTCTGCCATGGTGTCTTTGCCAAGGAGGTCCAGCACAAGGATCTCTGATCCAAGGGCATGCTACACTCCAACTCCAGCTCTTCTTTCTTGATGGCAGTGAGATCCTCCTTTCTGACTCTAAAACAAAAAAACAAACTCACTGCCGTCGAGTTGATTCTGACTCATAGCAACCTCCATTGGGTTTCCCAGGCTGTAAATCTTTATGGAAGTAGATCACCTCATCTTCCTTCTGCAGAGTGGTTGGTGGGTTTGAACCACTGACCTTCTGGTTAGCAGCCAAGTGCCTTATGTATATGCCACTAGAGCTCCTTTTCTGTCTCTAGAAGGGCTCACTTCAAGCCTGGCTAAGTGACAAAACTAACCAATCCCTACATCAGAGTACCATACACCTTATTTGAATGGTCCCACCCAGTAATCTGGTGGGAGTCACAAAGACCATGGCTAAAAAAAAAGCCATACCAAGTAATTCACTGCACCACATCCAGAAAAAGAAAGAAAGAAAAAAGTAATTTTAAAAAGACACCATTTACAAAAAAATAAGAATTAAGATACTGCAAGGCGATTGAAGTGCTCTAAATTTTGACTATGGTGATGGTTGTACAACTATGCAAATATACTAAAATTCATTGGGTTGCACACTTAAAATGAGTGGATTTTATGGTATATAAATTATATTTTAATAAAGCCAGTGTGTGTGGGGGGGGGGAGAAGCACCTAAGAATAAATCTAACAAAAAGTATGCCAGATCTGTATAGAGAAAATTTTGTTGATCACTGTTAAAGAAGATCTAATAAAATGGAGAGATATCCATTCATGTATGAGAAGACTCATTTAATTCTCTTCAATAGAACTATAGAGTCAAAGCAATTCCAATCAAAAGTCCATCTCAGCTTCTTTACAACTTTAATAAACTGACTCTAAAATGAACATAAGGAATAACAAAGGCCCTAGAGAGTAGTCAAGATTCTCTTGAAGAAGAATAAAGTAGAAGGCTTGCCCTACCAGATGTCAAGACATCTTATAAATTACAGTGGAAATAAATAAATTGACCAGTGGAATAGATTCCCCCCAAAAAAATCCAAGCTCACTGCCATTGAGTAGGACCCAATTCATAGCGACTCCTCCTTGGGTTTCTGAGGTGGTATCACTACGGAAGTAAATTGCCCAATCTTCCTTCCAAGGAGTGGCTAGTGGGTTTGAACCACTAGCCCTCTAGTTAGCAGTCAAATGCCTTAGGCACTATGCCACATCAAGACTTCTTATAAAATTACAGTGGAAATAAATAAACTGACCAATGGAATAGATTAGAGAAGCCCAAAACAAATCCATGCATATTTTAGCAAATTGCTATTTACTGAGTGTGACATTGCAAATCACTCAGGAAAAGACAAACTATCTGATAAATTATGCTGGAACAACTGGACATTTATGTGGGAAAAAAAATCCCTACATTTTCCATACACATAAATAATTTCCATGTAGAAAGTATTAAGTGTGAAAGACAAAACCTTACAACTTTTGGAATAAAATAAATGAGAGTATCTTAATAACCTCAGGGTAGGAAAGAATTTCTTGAACACAACCTCAAAATGCTAACCACCCAAGAAAGAATCGATAAATTTGGCTATGTTAATTAAAATTAAGAACATCTGATTATCAAAAAATATGCAATTCATGACCTGGAAGAATTTTTCTGTACAATATATAACTAACAAAGGATTAATACCCAGAATATATAAAGAACTGCTACAAATCAATTAAAAAAAAAAACCAACAGTGAAGAAATGGGTATAAAACATGAGCAGGCATTTTATAACAGAGGCAACATATGAATGAGCATCTTTTAAGTGAGCATGTGAAAAAATGTTTAACCTGATTAGTAATTAGAGAAATACAAATAAACATCACAGTGAGATAGCATTTTATAACCATTACTTTGGCAAAATTGAATATTTTGACAATACCAAGTACTGATTAGGAAGTGACTAAAAAGGAACTCTTATTCACTAATTAACAGAAACAAAACAAAACCCAAACCTACTGCCATCAAGTTGATTCCAACTCAGAGCAACCCCCACTGGGTTTCCAAGACGGTAAATATCTACTAAAATAGATTGCCCCATTTTCCTTCCACAGAGTGGCTGGTGGGTTTGAACAGCCAGCCTTCTGGTTAACAGTCAAATGCCTTAGGCATCACCAGAGCTCCTTATTCACTATTTATGGGGGTGTAAATTTGTACTATCATTTTGGAAAAAAAATCGGCTTTTTTTTTTTTTTTTAAAGTAAAATGAACATTAGCAAACCTTAACTACTCAGCAATTCTATCATACCTTCTCAAACTCTGTGATGAAAGACTTTTTAAAATTTTTTTAAAACTTTCCAATCTGTCCTGGACCACAGCTTCAGTATGGGACAATAAAAATAAATTCCTAGAAAAAATTATCCTATGTTTGAATGTTCCAGCAATGACAAATGATAAGGCAAATGAACCTTATCCAGACCAGTGACAGTCTGTGGACTGTCTGCCTGCAGACCACACTTTGAATATCACTACCCTAAAGAAAGTCATTCACATGTGTATGTGTCATTCACATGTTCCTATGTGTCAGGAGACACATACAAAAAAGTTCATAGTAATATTATTTCAATACTTAAAAATAAAAGGAAAGCATCCAAATGGTCACTGAGAGACAAATGTCTAAAAAATTATGGTTAAATGAAAAACCGTGGATGAACACTCAATGAATTAAAAAACAAAAAACAAAACCCACTATCATCATCAATTCTGATTTATAGTGATCTTATAGAACAAAGAAAAGTTGACCCATAGAGTTTCCAAGGCTGTAAAGCTTATGAAAGTAGATTGCCTCAACTTTCTCCCACTGAGTGGCTGGTGAGTTTGAACCGCTGGCCTTTTAGTTAGCAACCGAATGCTTTAACCACCCTACCATCAGAGCTCCTTATTGAATGAACATATGTGGAGCATAAATAGCAAATGACAGTAGATCATTTACAGTATGATATCATTTTTATAAAGCTAAAACCCAAGCAAAGCCAAGATGGTGGTTCCCTGTATAATGAAGTAGGGGAAAGCAGGAGGATGGGAGGGCAGGCACACACACCTTGTAGAGGCAATGGCTTTGATACTGCTTTAGATGACCAGACTTAGTCTGTACTGCTCTCCACCTTTTCCCATTAGCAGATGAACAGGCTCAATTCTATTTTCTCCTCTAGTGATGCCCTGTCTTTCTCCTCCATTCATTGCCAAACTTTTTAAAAGAATCATCTACACTCTTACCTCACTTCCCATTTCCTGGGCACTCTCTGGCACTGCAGTATGAAATCAACAGTTATTTTCCAGTGCTTATCTGCCTTGCTCTCTGGGCAGCATGTAGTCTTCTTCTCTCCTTGGTGGAGTCTTCTGTCCAATACCCTACAACCTCTCCCAGTCTCCACATCATTTACACAGCTCCTAGTTCCACCTGTATCTTGATAACTCCACATTTGATAGTTCTGGGGGCAAAAAAAAAAGCATAGCTCTGGCCCAGTCCCCAGTAACCCAGCTGCCCCCTAGATATCTCCACTGGATGCCCCTCAGGCATGTCTAGCTTATCAGCTCGGTGGCCCCAAGAATATCCTCACACTCCTCAGGTGGGAGGCATCCTCTTTCATACTAGACTCAGGGAATGTGAATTCCCTCACTACCTTCTGTTCTTCTCCATAACTTCCCAGCACTGACTTGACTGCTTTTCACCAGAGAGTTCTGAAGCAAGCCTTGTTACCGGGCCCCCATTTCCCCTTGCACCTTCCTCTTCCATTGTCTTCTTCCTTTTCCTGGCCTTCCTATGTACTTTGCCTCTTCCTCACTATCAAGGCCTGTTTGTAAAAGGTTTCTGCCAAGGTAACAGGCAACTTATTTTCTCAAAATTCTTAGACCTAGAATATCTTTATCAGCTGCTCTGATTTTCCTTAATGGGGATTCAGGATGGAGTCATTAAGCATCAAATTCCCTACAAGCATCTCCTCTCATTTTCACACTCCTATTGATTCTTCAATATGGCTTCTTTCAGCTCCAGAAATTGTGAACTATGAGCCCCTGGGGCTGGAGGCCGACATGTGGTAAGTTGTGCAGCCCACCTGGGCCCCTGGTCTCTGTGGCCCAAGGGTAGAAAGCCTCAGACTCTGGCTCCATGTGACATCTCCCTTGCTCATGGGGAAAAAAAAAAAGAAGGGTTTCCCTTTCCCTACACTCATCTTTCAGGGCTCTGGCTACTTCAGCTATGCTAGAGCAGCAGCCTGAGTAGCTGGAGGCAGGTAGGCCTAGACCTGAGGCTAGTTAGAACATGTCTGGGCCTGAGCTTTGCCAGCAGTGAAGAGGTGGAGGGGCAAGGGCAGAGGAGAGGCCAAGGGGCAGCCTCCCCCTGAGGCCTGCCACAGCCATGATAAAGATAATAGTAATACTGGCTCATTCCATCAGTCTACCAGGTGTTCACTGATCTTCTGGTTAGCAGCCACATGCCTTAACCACTATGCCACCAGAGCTCCTTGATCTACAGCTTGGATATTCAGACATTGGCTCTTGAATCCCTGAGAGCCTCTTATGTTCCTGGCTGTGTTGGGCCTGAGGATACTGCAGTGACTGGTCGCCTGCACAGACAGACTCCATTTGAATGGTGCTTTACAGTTTGCTGAAGACCTTCATTACTTGATTTTTATGAAATTCTGCCAGCAGTCCTGTGAGGTATTTGTCATTATCCTCATTCTGTGAAGAGAGAGAGGCTCAGAGATGACAAGGGACTCACCCAAATCATAGAGCCAGCAAATGTAGGTGTCTGGCCTTCGACTCAGCCTCGGACTCAGTGTCCAGTGCTTGGTGACTCCAAATTCAGCCCAGGCTGCTGAGGAAAACTAGGATGGAGAAGGGTGTGGGGCTTGGACAGCATCCAGGGGCCCTTTTGGGGGAAGCAAATGAAGTCTATTCTGAGAGCCATGTGAGGAGACCAGTTGCTGGTCTGGGACTGGAGCTCTGCAACCCCTGACTCAACTGTGCTTTGTTTTGCAGGAGCATAGGCGTCATCACCTACATCCTGTGAGTATCCCTGATCCTGAGGCTCAGACCCAGCTTAGACCTGAGGGAACCAGGAGGAATGAGAGGAGGAGGCAAATGCACAGACAGTCAGGCAGATAGACAAATTGACTTACTGAGCACCCACCATGAGCCATCATCTGTGTTTCATCCACACAGCCAACCTGAGGCTGAGTGCCCTTAGCGCCACTTTATACATTTGTCCCTGGGGTTGAGGTTGTGCAGAAACTGGGAGGGCAGGCTCCAGCCTTCCATCCTGTGTAGCTGTGCCAGCATCCCTATGGTGCCAGACTGAGTTTTACTGTGAGAATATCAGTTTTCACTCAGAGGCCTTCAGACAGCTGGAAGCAGGCCATGCCCTCCCTGATCCTGCTGCTTCTCTCTCTTCTCTTTCCTTTCCTTTCCCCAAATCCCTTTGTCTTCCTCTCACATTCTCCCTCCTCCTTTTTCTCTTCACTCCCTTTTCTTCAGTGTCTTTCCTTTCTGTCCTTGATGTATTAAGTTGCTTCAGCAGGGATTTCCTTCGTAGTGCCATTGTATAGTGCATTATACCTGGGGTTGGAGTCAGACAATCCTGTCACTTTCCTTCTCTGTGGCTTGTCAGGCTACTTAATCTCCGGGCCTGTTTTTCTCATCAGAAAACTAGGAATCATGAACTCTCTGCCACTAGTATATTGCCAGGGTTAAATTAACCGGAGTTTCCTCACTGTTTCTCCTCATACCACACATGGAAAATGATATTTTTATAGCACACTAGGGTAAAGCAAAAGATCAGTGGTTCGAACCCACCAGCTGCTCTGTGGGAGAAAGATGTGGCAGTCTGCTTCTGTAAAGATTTACAGCCTTGAAAACCCTATGGGGCAGTTCTACTCTGTCCTACTGGGTCATCATGAGTTGGAATTAACTCAATGGCAGTGGATTTTGGTTTTACTGGGGTAAAGAATTTGCTTATCATCAAAAGGGACAGAGGTCACTAGTGCTGCACAGCTGAAAGGGTCATTAGCATGATCACTAGCAGCTCTCAGACTGGGAAGCTCTGATCTATGTGATGGACCCCCCTGAACTGTGGCGAGGGGCTTAACCCTGGATGCACATTGCTTGTTGTTACCGTGTGCCATTGGGTCAATTCCAACTTATAGTGACCCTATAGGGCAGAGAGGAACTGGCCCATAGGTTTTCCTAGGTTGAAATCTTTAGGAGAGCAGAGTACCATTCTTCTGCCGCTGATGGCTGGTGGATTTGAACTGCCAGCTTTTTAGCTAGCAGCTGAGTGCTTAACCAGCCACCAAGGCCTCTTGGCTGCACATTAGCACTTTTAATAACTACCATGGCCCAAGCCCCAGATTGATTAAATCACAATCACTAGCATTAGTATTTTTTTAAATGCTCCTGCTGAATTTGATTCAAAGAAGAAAGTTGAAAACCATTGATCTATAAGATCCCACTGCCATCGAGTCAATTCTGACTCATAGTTACCCCCACTGGATTCCCAAGGCTGTAAATCCTTACAGAAGTAGATTGCTTCCATTGACTCATCTTCCTCCTGCGGAGCAGCTAGTGGATTTGATCCGCCGACCTTCTGGTTAGCAGCCAAATGCCTTACCCACTACACCAGCAGAACTCCTTGATCTATAGATCACAGCTAGGATGTTCAGACATAGGCTCTTGAAACCTTGATTTCTTCAGAATTCTGGTGCCCTTATTGAAACATTAGGGTATTCTAGCATGACCCCTCCTTGGGTTTCTGAGGCTGTATCACTGGGGAAGTAGATTGCCCAACCTTCCTTCCAAGAAGTTGCTGGTGGGTCTGAACTGCCAGCCTTCTGTTTAGCAGTCAAATGCCTTAGGCACTACGCCACCAGAGCTTCCATTATCTGCAGGGCACACAGTCTTCTTGAGTTTGAATTCAACATGCCTTTATTGAGTATCTGCCCCATGGTGCTGTGAAGGAGACTCTTCCCGCTTGCCTGGAGCTGCCTGTTTGTGAAAGAGACATACACACACCTGACTCTGACCCAGGAAGATGAAGGCTGTGCTGGAGGCGTCAACATGCCACTGTGAGATACAGATGAGGAAGAAACGGTTTTTGTTTGTTTGTTTTTCTTTTCTTTCCAAGCCTTTTTTTTTTTTTTCCTATGAAGTATTCTTTTTTGTTTTTTAACTTTTTTCCCCAACATTTTATTGTGCTGTAGGTGAAAGTTTACATAGCAAATTAGTTTTCCAGTCAATAGTTCATACACAAATTGTTCCATGACATTGGTTGCAATGCTCACAATGTGTCAGCACTCTCTCCTTTTCCTCCCTGCGTTCCTGATTTCCATTTGTCTGGTTTCCCTGTCCCTTTCTGCCTTCTCATCTTTGGTTTTGAGCAAATGTTGCCCATTTTATCTCATATGGTTGATTGTTCTAAACACATTCTTCATGGTGGTATTGTTTATTTTCTGGGCTTGTCTATTAATTGGCTGAAAGGTGGTCTCCAGGAATGTCTTCAGTTTCAAGTTAGAAGGTTATTTTAGGACTACAGTCTCAGGAGTTGATCCAGTCTCTTTCAGACCAGTAAGCCTGGTCTTTTTTTTTTTTTTTTCAATTTGAATTTTGTTCTACATTTTTCACCCATTCTAACCAGGATGTTCTATTGTTCTGCTCAGAGTGGTCGCTAGTGGTAGCTGGGTACATATAGTTCTTCTGGTCTTAGGTTAAAGGAGGTTGTGGTTCATGTGGGCCACTAGACCTTTAGACTAATTGCTTCCTTGAGTCTTTTGTTTTCTTTATTCTCCTTAGCTTCAGGTGGGAAGAGACCTCTAGTTGCTTCTTAGATGAACCCTCGCAAGCTTTTAAGACCCCAAACACTATTCACCAGACTAGGATGTAGAACATTATATTTATGAACTGTTTTGCCAATTGACCTAGATGTCCCCTGAGACTATAGTCCTTAGCCTTCAAGTCCAGTAGTTCAGTCCTGATGTCTAAATAGTTTCTTTAACTGTGCCCCCTATGTGCTCTATTATATGAGTATACATGCAGCATTTAAAAATTTGTATGTAGAAATGTCTGCAACCATACCTAAAGTGGGTGTACTCTCATATGACTTCCCTCACTTGTTTAGCATACATATTTACCTATGTATCTACTTACAAATTATTGTTTGTTATTACTATTGTTGCACAACTGCATTTATTATAACATTTACCATCCAAACTCACTGTCATCAAGTCAATTTCAACTCATAGCAACCCTTTGGGACAGAGTAAAACTGTCCCATTGGGTTTCCAAGGCTGTAAATCTTTATGGAAGCAGACTATCTCATCTTTCTCCTTTAGAGCAGCTGGTGGGTTTGAACCTCTAACCTTTTGGTTAATAGCTGAATGCTTTAACCACTGCACCATCAGAGCTTCTTGCATTTATCATGGTTGCCCTTCGTTCTTACATACCCGTCAGTGTCTTCCTTTGCCTTGGTCATACCATGCTGACCTCCCTCATATTGTTATTGCCTTTACCTTTACCATAATTAACATTTGTGCACTATCTAGTCAGTAGTTTTCCCTCTCTCTTCCTGTTCCTGATAACCATCAAAGAATATTTTTTTCTGTGTATAAATCTATTCTTCACTTTTTATAATAATGGTCTCATAAAATATTCATCCTTGGGTGATTGAATTATTCATTCAGCATATAATGTTCTCCAGATTCATCTATGTTGTGAGATGTTTCATGGATTCATCATTATTCTTTACTGTAGTGCGGTATTCCATTGTATGTATGTACCACAATTTATCCATTCATCCTTTGATGGGCCCTTGGGTTGTTTCCATCTTTTTGCTATTGTGAATAATGCCATGATAAGCATGAGTGTTCATATGTCTATTTGTGTCACAGCTCTTGTTTCTGTAGGAAATATAACTAGGAGCGGGTTTACTGTACAGTATGGTATTTCTATTTCTAGATTTTAAGGAAGTGCCATATCATTTTCCATTGTGGGTGTACCACTTTGCAGTCCCTATAGCAGTGTTTAAGAGTTCCAGCCTCCTCACAGCCTTACCAGCATTTGTTGTACTCTGTTTTTTTTTTTTTTTTTATCAGTACAATTATTACCAGGGTGAGATGGTATCTCATTGTAGTTTTGATATGCATTTCACTAATGGCTAATGATTGCGAGCACCTTCTCATGTATTAGTTGCCTGAATGTCTTCTTTGATGAGGTGTCTGTTCATGTCTTTTGCACATTTTTTAATTGAATTGTTTATCTTTTTATTGTTGAGTGTTCAGTTTTTCTATAAATTTTAGAGATTAGGCCCTTGTCAGATATGTCATTGCCCAAAATTTTTTACTCTCTTGCTGAGTTTTTTGATGAGCATAAGGATCCAATTTTTAGGAGATCCCACGCATCTAGTTTATATTCTGTTGTTTGTGTGTTTTTAGTTAAGTTTGATAGTGTATTTATGCCATAAATTAGGGCCCCTAGGTTGTCCCTATGTTTTATTCTATGAACTTTATGGTTTTAGGTTTTATGTTTATGTCTTTGATCCATTTTGAGTTAGTTTTTGTATATGGTGTGAGGTATGGCTCTTGTTTCCTTTTTCTGCAAATGGATATCCAGTGTTGCCAGCACCATTTTCTAAAAAAGTCTGTATCTTCCCTATTTAATGTACTTTGACTCTTGTCAAAGATCAGCAGTCCATGGGTGGATGGATTTACTTCTGGGGTCTCAATTCTGTTCCATTGATCTATTTGTCTGCCCTTATACCAGCAATAGACTGTTTTGACTACTGTGTTCTGAGATTGAGAAGTGTGGGCCTCCTACTTTGTTCTTTTTCTTCAATAATGTTTTATTTATCTGAGATCTCTTTCCTTCCCATATACAGTTAGTGATTAGTTTTTCCATCTCATTGAGATAATGTTGGAATTTAGATCAGGATTGCATTTTATCTATAGATCACTTTGAGTAGTATTGACATTTTCATAATGTTAAGTCTTCCTATCCATGAGCATAGTATGTTTTCCCATCTATGTAAGTCTCTTTTGGTTTCTTGCAATATGTTTTGTAGTTTTCTTTGTATAAAGCTTTTATGTCCCTAGTTAGATTTATTTCTAAGTATTTTGTATTTTGGAGGACAATTGCAAATACAACTGCTTTCCTACTTTCTTTTTTGGAGTTCTCTTTGTTAGTGTGGAGGAATCCAACTGACTCTGGTATGTTGTTCTTGTACTCTGCCACTTTGCTGAATCATTCTATTAGTTCCAGTAGCTTTCTTGTGGAATCTCTGGGATTTTCTTTGTAAAGTACCATATCATCTGGGGATTGGGATAATTTTACATCTTCTTTAAACCAAATAGTTTTTGCTTGGTATCAATTTGGATGTCCTTTATTTTCTTTTCTTGCCTTATTGCTCACTTAGGGCCTGCAGTACAATACTGAATAAGAGTTGTGATAGAGGGCATTCTTGTCTGATTCCTGTTCTCTATAGGAATGCTTCCACTCTCTCTTCATTGAGGATAATGTTGGCTGTTGATTTTGTATATATGCCTTTGATTATGTTTTTAAATTTTTATTGTGGTGAAATATATATAAGAAAACATTTTAGCCATTTTTACATGTTCATTTCAATGGCATTAATTACATTCACCATGTTGAGGGAGCCAGTGGTTTCACTGGAACTATGAAGGTTTAATAAGAGAGACAGAGCTTTGAACTGGTCAGTAAGCAATGATATGAATCCTCTAGGTGGAGAGGGAGATCAGGGCTGTATTTTCTGAGGAACAGCATGAGGAAAGGAATGGTGAGTGGGTTAAATATGGCTGAAATGTGTGGAGCATGTGCTATGGAGCAATATCTAGGGCCTCAAGATACCTTGCTTAGGAGTTTAGATATGATTCTTTAGAAAATAGAGTCACAGAACATGTGTGTGTGTGTGTGTGTGTGTGTGTGTGTGTGTGTTCTAACATTAACAATAATAGCCATCAATATTATCTAGCAATAATAATAATAGCTCTCAGAAGGGGCCAGGGTTGCATAAAACATTTTATATATATTATCCCTCTCATTTGCTCTTCACATGAGATAGGGACTTTTGTTTTCTTCCCTTTACAGATGATGAAACTGAGACTCAGAGAAAGTGAGTAACTTACCTGGGTTCACACAGCTAATGAGTGACAATACTGGGATTCAAATCCAGAATTGAAATACCTTTCTTTTTCTTTTCCAATGCATCTTGCTGCTATTATGCTAAGAACTTGGCAGCAGGGATGTGGTGACATTCAAGAGATATTCCATAAATAGGTTCAACAAGACTTGCTAGCCAGTCCAGCTGTGGTGAGGGAAGGGAAGGAAGAGTCAAAGGTGACTCCATGTTTCTAGCTAGGTTATATTTATGAAGTATATCATTAATCAAGGCATAGAGTGCATGGAGGGAGGTTTGGGTACAGTGAGTTTTGGGTACTAGGACATCCAGATAGAGTTATCTCATAAGTAACTAGAATATGACTCAGGAGATCTCGGTAGATATAGGAGTCACTATATGACAAGGAGCTCTGGTGGCATGGTGGTTAAGGCATTTGGCTGCTAACCAAAAGGTTGCAGTTCAAATCCACCAGCCAGTCCACGGGAGAGAGATGAGGCAGTCTGTTTCCATAAAGAGTTTCAGCCTTGGAAATTCTGAGGGGGGAGTTCTACTCTGCCCTACAGAATTGCTATGAGTTGGAATCGACTCAATGGCAGTGGGATTGGTTTTTGTATTACACATATTAAGGAAGCCTTACAGACCCTGTTTGTCCCTAATGGCCCGTTTTTTCCACACCTCTTGGGCTTTGCTTAATCTGCTTCCTTAGCCTAGACCCTTCCATCTCCTTCCCTGACTGCTGGGAACCTCTCTATTCTTCAATACACAACTGATGCAAATGTCACCTCTACCATGAAGCCTGCACTGGGTCCTCCTCTTTCCTGTGCTCCCCCAGTCTTTTGGCCTTCCATTATATTCTACTTTATTCTGCAGAGAATTATAGAGACCTACCTGTTTCTCTCCTCTAGTCTTTGAGTCTCTTGAAGACACAGTTCATCTCTTCCAGGAGCTCCATAAAAATATACTGAATTGGATTCAATTGAAAAGGCTGCTCATTAGCTGCCCAGAGGGGTTCAGCTCTAGTTGCTGGGGGCCTCCCATCCCCATGCAACAGTATAGGTCAGGGCTCCCCAAGTCCATCGCCACTGTTTCCATCTACTTCCCTGCAGTCACATGATTCCCTCTCTCTTGTTGTGCTCAGCTTAAGTGGAGCATCCCCTTTCTTGGGAGACACGAAGCAGGAAACGCTGGCAAATATCACCGCAGTGAGTTACGACTTTGATGAGGAATTCTTCAGCCAGACTAGTGAGCTGGCCAAGGACTTCATTCGGAAGCTTCTGGTTAAAGAGACTCGGTAAGAGAACAGGGAAAGGTACCGGTTTCCAGGTACTGATCATCTGTCTCTACCCTTGCCTCTCCCAAGGAAATGTCAGTCTGCTCTGCTTTACCACAGTCTGTCATCTGCACTATTGTGGTCTAATCTGGGAAGGCACTAAGGTGTAGACAGCCCTATGCTTGGCATTCGTTGTGTTTGCTCAAATCTTTCTGAAATGCAAATAAACCTGTGTGTGTGTGTGTGCACATGTGTATAAGTCAGCCCGAGTTTCTGTAGTGTTCGTTACCTTGTGTAGTCTATCCCAAAGGCACCTGGTGCTATGATTTGAAAGGTATATTGGCAGGGTTTTCAAGCCAATTCAAGTTGGGAGGAGAAAAGGTGGGTTTAGAGGGGTCAGTACAGGCACACTGGGAGAATGGGAGAGATGCTAATCCTCCTTCTGCTGATTTGACCCCTTCTTCAGGGCCCAGAGTGAACTTTATGGCTATGGGGGTCAGAGAAGAAGATGGGCAGGGTTCTAGGTGTCCAAAGAATGGCCTAGATGGAGCAAGGGGAGAGGTACCTCACAGACTCTAGAAGGCCATGTCCTTTTCGTCCCACATACTCCAGAGAAGGCCAGAATGGGTCTACTACAGTGCAAGGGCCCTAACTTCCCAGACTAAGGGCAATGTTTAGGTAGGGTCATCCTATCTGGATACAGAGCAGCAAAGGGCAGAGAATGGATCTGGGAGGGAAATAGGAAAATAGAGAACAGAGGTTTAGCAATGGAGATCTGGCTTTTGGAGGATTCTCAGGGAAAGGAAGCTCAATAGGGCATTTATGACTCTCCCACAGTGTGACATTAAGCCATTTAACCTTGACACAGAATGTGAGGGTGTATGTTAGATCACTCTGTCCAGGGGTCAGCCTGGAGCATTTTTCCCTTCAGCGTAGGGAATGCAGCCATCTCCTCATCTGTCTCTCCATCCCCTCATTATACTGTTTTGATGGTAGTGGTCAAAGAATGCCAAAATACAGGACCAAAAAGAGTTAAGACTGGAGACGGTTGCTCCCAGTTTTTGTTCTCATGGATCATCACTGTTCTCTGATCCTTGTTTCAGGAAACGACTCACAATCCAAGAGGCTCTCAGGCACCCCTGGATCACGGTAAGGGCATGGTGATGATTTCCAGTGAGAAGACAGGTCTTTGCTCTGTTGCCAGGGTTGGCAGGGTGACCAGATGCAGAAAGCCCGTGGAGAGACCTTTGCTTGATGCACTTACCTATGAGCACAGATTTGAAAGCCAGTCGGGAGCCCCAAAGGGTCTGGGCCTATTAAGATAGGTTTATACTACTTTTAAGTTTGTACTTCACAGATTCAGGTGACTAATGACTCACTTCAGTTGAAACACTTTTTCTTTGAGGCCAGCTTGTGAAGTATTCTTTGTTGGAGGACATTAATCCACTGCCATTTCCTAGTACAGAAATCAGGGTTCCCAGTTGTAGAGAGAGATCAATGTTTCTTTCTGATTTGGGGGCTATGAGTAAAGGAAAACATCCTAACCAGCCACCTGTTTCCTCAGTCCCCATGGGCCTCAGGGAACAGGCTCTGAGGCAAAGCCCACTGGGGAAGAGAGGCAGCCTCTCTTTTAGGGTGATTCCATTCCCTCTGTGTTGAGGGGAGACAAAATGGTGAATTCCTGCCTAACTCCCCTTATAAGCCAGCTCCCAGCTGCTGGTTTTTCAGGTCTTGAAGCCTGGTACAGGGAAAAGCATTTTGGGAGGTGGGTGTCAGGAGATCAGGATTCTGTCCTTGTTCTGCTCACAGATTAGCTGTGACTCCTAGGGATGTCACCCAATTTATTGTTCACCTTATTTGTTAAATGAGAAGGCAGAGAGGATGAATCTGTAAATGGAACAAATAAGAAGGGGTAGAGCCCCATGAGTCCATGGGTGGTGCAAATGGTTAAGCTTTCAGCTACCAATAGAAAGGTTGGAAGTTTGAATCCACCCAGAGGTATGTTAGAAGAAAGGTCTGGTGATCTGCTTCTGAAAGGTCACAGCTGTTGAAAACCCTAGAGAATACAGTTCTACTGTGACACACATGGATTTGCCATTAGTTGGAATCAACTTGATGGCAACTGTTTATTTTATTTTATTTTTAATAAGCCTATGGAAGATGAGGGAGCTCTGGTAGCATAGTGGCTAAGGCACTTGACTGCTAACCAGAAGGCTGGCGGTTCAAACCCACCAGCCACTCCTCGGAAGGAAGGTTGGGCAATCCTACTTCCGTAGTGATACTGCCTCAGAAACCCAAGGAGGGGTCGCTATGAGTCGGGGCCGACTCGACGGCACATAACAACAACAACAACAACAATGGAAGATGAAGGGGAGGGAGGGCTGTGTAGTCTTGGATAAAATCAGGTTCATCTGCCCCTTGAAGGATGGGGAAAGCCAGGTGGCCCCCAGATTCGGGATTGGCCCAAAGCACAGAGCTGGGGAGTGCTATGGGCTGCCTCCTTGTTCAGCATGCCATTGCCAAGGCCCAAAGAGCTGACTGTTCCTAAAGGAGGCAGGCCCTTCTGTCAGCTGTGGCCTTGTGTGCTCCAGCCCTTACGTGGATCCCCATGGGATCCTTTGCTATCACCTGCTTGTCCGTGTGAGTGCCCATTAAATGCTATGTGTGTACAGACCCTTTCTAATGGCCAGAGAGCCCATCCTGCCCGGAAGGGAGCAGGCAAGCAGCACCCCTGCACGGTACTTCCCCCACCCTACTTCTTCTTAATGCCTGATGCATGCAGTGAATGCCGAGTGTGACTTCTGCCTGCACCTCAAACTCACCGTTGGAGCATGTGTCAAATTAACATTCTGGTTCTTCTGTCTGAACACCCACCAGTCAAAAGGAGAAGTGAGAACCCCCGAACAGCGGAAGACAGAGCCCACCCAGCTGAAGACAAAGCGCCTGAGAGAGTACACCCTCAAATGCCACTCGAGCATGCCCCCCAACAATACCTATGTCAACTTTGAGCGTTTTGCCCACATGGTAGAGGACATTGCTCTGGTAGACCAGGGGTGCCGCTCTCTTGTGGGGGCCCATGATACCATCCAGGACGATGTGGAGACCTTGATTTCTATTTACAATGAGAAGGAGGCATGGTACCGAGAAGAGAGTGAGAGCGCTCGGCACCACCTGTCCCAGCTGAAGTACGAGTTCCGCAAGGTGGAGTCCCTGAAGAAGCACCTGCGTGAAGACATCCAGGCCACAGGCTCCAGTGTTGGAAGTGTGGCCAGGAAACTGGACCATCTGCAGGCACAGTTTGAGGCTCTAAGGCAGGAGCTCTCAGCAGACCTACAGTGGATCCAGGATCTGGTGGGCAGCTTCCAGCTGGAAAGTGGGAGCACAGATGGCCTGGGCTCTGTGTTTAGCCGGGATGGCAATGAATCCCTGACGGAGCTGCTCAACAGAACGTGCAGTGAGGAAATCCTGGCTGGCTTGAAGTTCTGAACCCCAGAATCTGTCCAGGAATGAATGCATCCTGGATGGCTCATAGAAGTATGCTCTCAAGTGCCCTGCTAGGACATCCAGCTAGAATTATCCTTCTAAACAACAAACCTCAGGTCCTAGTTAATGATTCATTCTGCACTAACCCTCACCAACCTGGATTTCTGAGGAGGGTGCTGGCAGGTCAGCCTGACTTTTAAAACAATTAGAGAATGAATACCCCATCAGAAGAATGCCCTAGTGTACCCTGCTCCAAAGGGAGAAATGCTGGCCATGGGGAGATGCCTGATAATTGATTTTAGGTAATGGATCTGTTCACATCCCACCTCCTGCCTACACACCTTATGGATTGCAGATCTTGGGTAATATTTGAATGGATTAGGGATAAGAGTAAGTCAGCTTGGTGCATTCCTGCTACAGAAGCAGGGGTTTAAAATGAGCAGAGAAAATAATATTGTCTTTCCTTTGCATTGACTTTTCACATGACAATCCCTGTATGCTTGTGGCCTCATTTGATCCTTCAAAGAGCTCTGTGAGATGGGAAGGTGGATAGTATTATTTCCATGTGATAGATGAAGAAATTGATTCATGGAGGCATAGTGACTTACTCAGGATCTCCCACAACTAGTCAATGAACATGAAACAGGAACACAGCATGCCCAACACTAAGATGAGGTATATGGAGGAATAGTGAGGTTTTGCCATAAATATCAACCTTAATATTAAAGGTCAGATCTCCTAAGCAAAGTAAGCAACTTCAAGCATTCTGCCAGGTGAGTGCCACATGCCTTCAGCCAATTGCCCCAGGAACTGTGTCGTGGAAGGTGCAGTTCCCTGTTCCTACCCAGCCCAGTTGCCATGCAGAGCAGGAGGGGAGCCTGCAACATCTTATCCTTCTCCACCCTTTCTCCCATTGTGGCCAAGGGCCCCAACCAGTCACATCACTGGAGGATGCTGGGCATACAGATTGCACAGGGTGACTCTGCACTGTCAGACAGGTGACACCAAATAATTGTCCATAAGATTTTTGTGTCATGTTTCAGCAGAAATTTATTATTTTTTATAAAAAATGTCCCTGTAGTTAGTTATAACAACAAAAACATCTTTGTAAGCTCAGCTTACAAATATCAATATACTTACAAGGCCCAAACTCTGTGCTAATTTACTTTTTGAACCTTCTAATCTGCTCTGGTCAGAACTGTCATTATTACCCAATTACAATGATGCTTCAAATCACATGGTTTTGTCTGCACAATCGAAAAGCACACACTTGTTTTCCTTGCTGCTGGTGTTTTTATAGTCACTGATTTTGTCACATTTTCTGGTGTTTCAGCTACAGCATTGTGGTAATTAGTATTTGTGAACCTATATCGATAACTTTTTGACAGTTAAGTAGTAATTAAAGAAAAAGAAGGAGAAAAAAATTTTAAAGGCGTTAGCTCAGTTACCAAAAAGGAGCTCTGGTGGTGTAATGCCTAAGGCATCTAATTGCTTACCAGAATGTTGGCAGTTCAAATCCACCAGCCACTCCGTGGAAGGAAGACTGGGCAATCTACTTCTGTAAAGATTTACCACCTCGGAAACCCAAAAGGGTCGCTATAAGTCGGAATTGACTTGGTGGCAGTGAGTTTGGTTTTGGTTTTGGTTTCAGTTAATACTAGTGTTGTAACTAATAATGTAGTTCAATAAAGAAAGAGGTTACAAAATAGTTTTGTTGTTAGCATTCATACAGTCTAAGAAGTATTACATTTAAGCACTTCACAACTATATTTATCACATATTATTTTATGATTAAAATTGACAATAAACATTACTATGGTCTGGTATGTGAGGAAGTACATGAAGGGGGTGTGACACCATGAGTTAGCACACCAACCCTAGTGACGCCACTGGCCTTAACTTTGTGTTGAGATTGAAGACCAAAATGTATTCAGTAAGGTTCCTTTTCTTATGTAAGAAAGGGCTAAGAAACTTCATGAGACCTTTTGAGGAGGGTGGATGTCAAAATTGGGATGCACAAGACTCTGTAGCCCCTTCATGACCCAAAGCTTTGAGCACACCTCCCTGAGGGCAATGTGAACTGACCTCCTCTTCCCTAGAGGAGGGGACAGTCAGCCAACTCATATAAGTAGATCATGGAGTGTGGGCTCAGTTCATGGGTTGGGGATGAGGGGGAAGCAGATTGTACAGTTTCAAAGTGCCTTCACAGCCTCACAAACCCTCTCCTCAGATAGGCAGCGTCCGTATTATTCCCAATTTGGAGATGAGGAAACAGAAAGTGGATGTGATTTATCCAAAGTCACAACTTTAAAGACAAATTGGAGAGCTCCTGATGATAAGACTGTTGCTCTTTCTCCTTCCTCTGAGAACCCCAACCTCAGGGAATTTATTGTCTATATTGTTTATAGTAGGAGGTTATACGCAGATTCATCCACCCACCCATTCACAAATAATTCTCTAGCATCTACCAACTGCCAGGTCCTCCTCTTGGCACTGAGGGGGGATACAATGTTGAGTAAAAGTAGGCATGTTTCCTGCCTTCATGGAGTTCACAGTCCAGTGAAGGAGTCAGACATTAATCAAGAATCACCATCATAGAACTGTAGCTGTGACATAGTCTATGAAAAAGAAAGATGTGGCATTTCCAGAGCCTATCACGAAGGACT